TGAAAAATTTTTTTTTAATGGATGAGAGATTTCTATGTTGCCCAGGCTGGCCTCAAACACGTAGCCTTGCGTCCTCATGTGCCAGGACAAGTGGCCTGAGCTACTGTGGCTCCCACATTTTTTATGGATAACATTTGGGCTTTGCTTTTTTGTCTCCTAATTCACGTGTTTAGAATGTTAACATTTAGTGTGGTAATTGCTTTGGTTAGGTTTAGATCTCTCATCTTGCTATTTGTTTTAGAATAGCTTTAGACTTACAGAAAAATTGAGACGATTGAGCACACAGTGTTCCCACATAGCTGGCACTCAGCTTTTCCTACTCTTAACACCTTTTATTAATATGGTACATTTGTCCCGATCACTGAACCAGTAGTGATACATTTTGACCTAAATGTCCTTTTTCTATTGCAGGATCCCAGCTAGGAACCATATTTTATTTAATTTTATGTCTCCTTAGGCTCCTCTTGGCTGTAACAGTTTCCCAGGCTTTCCTTGTTTTTGGTAATTTTGATATCATAGTTCTGAAGAGTACTAGTCAAGTATTTTGCAACATTCTCTTCTCTTAGGATATGCTTTTCTCGTTATGATATTACAGTGTTAATGGGTTTGAGAAGGTAAAACACCGTTTCTATCACATATATCAAGGGTGCACACTGTCAGCGTGACTTACCACTGTTGGTATGATCTTGATCACTTGGCTGTTTACTGGGTTTCTCACTCTGAAGTTACCCTTTCCCTCCCTGTTTCCATGTTGTACTGTTTGGAAAGAAGTCGCTGCATACAGTCCAAACATAAGGAATAGGGATTTATGGTCCCCCTCCATGAGGACACAAATATTTGTAAATTATTTAAAATTCTTATGTATGGGAGATTTGTCTCTTCTCCTTTATTTATTTACTTATTCAACTATTTATAGCAGTATGGGTTCAAGAATGTTTGTTTTATACTTTTGGTTATAATCCAATACTGCTTTATTTTGTTGTTCAAATTATTGTTCTTGCTTTGGCCATTAGGAGTTCTTCTGGTTGGCTCCCTTTGACATACTCCATCAACGTAGGCTTTTTGTGGTTATTTTGTTTGGTTTGGTTTTTTTTCTCCTTGCTTCAGCCCTAGATTCAGCCATTTCTCCAAGGAGCGCTGGCTCCTTCATTGGAGAGTGATATCAGAACTCAAGATTGAGTACGAGGTGTGTTCTGTTTATTTTTGTCCCATCTGTTCTTTGTTCCTCTTTCGCTCTTTCTCTGTTTTTCTTTGGAGTAGGCTTCTTTTTCCTTGTTTTGTTGTTTTAATGGTTTCTTTGCGTTTTACTCCACTTCTTTCGGTTAACACAGTCTACCTTCAGATGGCTGCGTGCTGCGTCACATAGAGCGCAGCATCAGGGCGGTCTGCTGTCATTTTTCGTGGCCTGGATGCTTTGGTCATCATGCATTTTGCAGTTATGCGAAAACTGACAATATATTGTTTTTATTTTTATTTAAGTCAGTTATTTTTAAAAGAGATATAAGTTATAATAAGCAAAAAAAGCATACATATTTATCCATGTCGTGGTAGTTTCTGGTGCTCTCTGTTCCTTTGTGTAGATTTTCTCTGTGTTGGGGGCTGACTGTGGCAGGGTCTCCTGTTACACTTGAGCTGAGCTACTTGATGTTGTCCGAAGCTTACTGATCCTCTGTGCTGGTTGGTCATACTTCTCATTTCTGTGTTTCATTTTGGGAAGTTTCTGTTACTGTATCTTTCTGTATCTTTAGGTTCCCGAGTCTGTCATAATGCCCACCCTGTTAATCTCATCAAGTATTTTTAGTACCAGACATTGGAGTTTCATCTCTAGCAGTTTTTTCTTTTCTTTCTTTCTTTTTTATTTTTTTGGTAAGTTTCATGTCCTTACCTGACTTTAAACATATGGAATACAGTTATGGTAACTTTCAGTGTGTCCTTATCAGTTAATTTTAACATCTTTGTCAGTTCTGGATTGATTTCTGTTGGTTGACATTTCTCAATGTCATGTGTCAGATATTCTTGCTTCTTTCTTTGCATGCATGCTAATTTTTAGTTAGATCGAATTTTACTTTATTCAGGGCTTAGTATTTTTGTAGTTCTTTAAATATTTGATTTTTGTTCTGGGATGCAGCTAAGTTTCTTAGAAACAGTGTGATCCTTTCATATCTTGTTTTTAAAGATGTGTTAGGCGTGCTGTGTGGGGCCTGTTTTCTACCGCGGAGGCAGGGCTCTACAAGATTTTCTTTTGGGGACAGTTACCATTTCAGGCCCTGCACATGAATGACATGTATTGTTATACGTGGGGTAGTTTCATCACATCCTTGCTTTGCAAAGAACCTGTCTGACTACTTGGTGGGGCCTGGGCCCCTGCAATTCTCTGGAGCTCCTCTTGCTGTCCTGTACATTCAGCCTCTCCATCTCCTGCATTGTCTTGATCTCTTCATCACAGCCATACGCTGGGTTCCCACCTGACTTCCTACTCCCTGGGCACAGCCTGGGACTTTCCCCAAGGGAGTGGGCTGAACGTGTGGGGGTTACTTTAGTGTCTCATGTTACATAGGAATCCATGTCCTTTGTTGCCCTATGTCCCACATCTGGAAAACCATCGTTTCATCTATCTTACTTGGTTTCTTAGTGATTTTAAAAGGAAAGCTAACCTAGTCCCTGTGATCCTATCTTGCCTAGGGGCAGATTGCCTGTGTCTTACTGATACCACATGCCCAACCTCCAATCTCCCTGAGAGCCCGCCTCACTTCCTTGTCATTGACTTTGCTTCCCGGTCTCCTCTGCAGTGCCAGGCGTTACTTCCATGGTTGGGTCATTCCCCATCTTTCTAAGGTGGTATTATTGCCCACCTTAGGTGAAACTACCCTGGGCAGCCTGTCTTTCACAGCAGAACACTTCAGCTATCTGCTTGCTGTCCCCATCTCCTTGCTTCCATTCTCTCTTGAATCCAATCCAGGTAGACAGTTGTCCTAAGTGACATTTGTCGAGCTCTTTAATGATGCTGGTGCAGCAAGATCCAGTAGTTAGTTCCAACTTCTTAACTTACCTGCCTTTACTGTGTTATCTTATTGTGGATGATTCTCTTGGCTCCTAACTACGCAGTACCCTAATGGTGTTCTTACCTTGCTGACTGTGAACCTGTGTCCTTTGGCCCTCATGCGCTTGCCTCCTGCTGAAGGTGGGAGTGTCCTGGGTTCATTCGTGGACTGCTTCTCTTTATTCCCTTGTGGCTTCATCACCACCTGTCACTTGGAGAGTCCCGTCTAGTGGTCTGTCCTCAATGATTGCATTACCTTGTGGCTGGTGTCTGTCTATACCATGGGACCAGAGATCTTTTCATTTTTTTTTTTTCATTCAAGAATTTTCTTCCTAGACCACAGAGATCTTTTCAAAATGTCAGCCCTGAATTGGTGTTCTATTAAGTTTAGGTTATTCTAGTGTTCTACTTGATCTGTTCATATACATCAGCCTCTGTGACCCCATTTCTTACTGTGTCCGTCACCCCTCTTCTCAGCTATGCCGGGCTCCTACTGCTGGACTTGACCCCTGTGCTTGAAGCACCCCACTTAGAACACACTTCCCACCTTCCTGCATGTCCCACCCCTCCCCCATCAGGTCCCATGGCACTTCCTGTCCAGAGGGCACCAGGCCTAGTCTCCCCTCATTCTGGGTTGTTTCTTCAGTGTCAGTTTCTCTCTGACATGATGTTCATAGTTGCTGATTAACCGTCTGTCATCTGCCTCTCCCATTAGAGTGTGGGCTTCATGAGAACAGAGGCTTTGCCTTATTCAGGCTGAATTCACAGAGCCTGCAATAGTGCCTGGCACATAGAAATACTTAGTAAATACCTATTAAATATGGGGACGTGGAGTGTGAATTTAAATGAGTGATCCGGAGATGCCTTCTAGATGGACAGTGGCATCAGGTTGTGTTTTCAGTTTTTGGTCTCATTAAGACCCATGGTTTGGTTTTGTGTTATGATTGCTTTAGCAGTTTTTTGTTTGTTTGTTTTTGCTGATGGGGTGGATTTTACTAAGCTCATTGTATAACACTATGCAAACTCTCTGTCCCTCTTATTTGTCCTGAACTCTCCACTTTGTCTTTGTCTTTTTGTGGTCTTTAACTTTGACTTTTAAGATATCAGTCTGTCTTGTGTTAGAATGGCTCATGTATGATTGTACCATGCTAATTTGTATAGGAACGTAGGAAAAAACTTAGTTCTTAGCATTTCAATGCCTGTCATCTCAACATGATTAAAATACCTGTTTACTCAGTGTCCAGAGTTCAGCTCCATCTTCTAGAGCTCCTACGTCCACAGCCCTGTCCTCCCCGTGACCACACACACCATGCCCTCTGGCATCCTCTCAGAAATTTCTTCCAGGATTTAGAACCAGCTTTTGTTTCCTCTTGAAGATCTGGTTTATTTATCATTCTCTTATAAGAACTGTGTAACACAACAATTCCTCAGTTCCTTTGACTATCTGGAAGTTTTAAAGGCAAATTTAAGCCTCTGTTGTAGAAACTGTCTAGTCCTAGGAACTGTGTGTTTATGATCTCCAGCCTGGGGTTTTTTGTTGTTCCTGTTATTTGTTTGGTTTTGCCTGTTATCCTTTTTGTTGTTGTTTCAATTTTTTCCTCTATATTTTATTATTGTTCAGTGTCTGTGTGTGTGTAGGTTACTTGAAAATTCCTTTTGAGACAAGACTTTAACTAAGCTTACACTTGTGATTCCTGGTTAGAAAAAAAAAAAGCCCTTGTTAAACTGCTTATGAGACTTAGATTATTTTTCTAAACTGTGCTGTTTTGTTTTGGGGAATAAAGGGGTAGATTTTTTTTTTACATGATTTACTTTTTGATAGGTAAAATAGCATTTTTCATCCTCAATATGCACTTATGTAGTTGTGTTAGAATTTGAAAGCATTACAACTGCTGTACTGAATTGTCTGCTTCCTAAATTTTAAGCCATTTTTCCTAAGTTGATCATTACTTTTCTGTAGGAGGAAATGAGTCTCAACCAGAAAGCCAGGAAGACCCCCGAGAAGTACTTAAAAAAACATTGGAATTCTGCTTATCTAGGTGAGGCTGGTGATGGTTTTTCTAGTACCTGATATTTCTGATACTGTATAAATAGTTAAGTTACATACAAATATAAGATTTTGTGAAAGAGTATGTATCTACTCATATCCATATAAATGTGTATATATATATATATATATGATGTGGAGTATTGAGTAATAACTATCTTTTGACATTTGAGAATGGAAGGTAACCCTCATGTCAGTGGTCCCCAGAGTTGAGGCCACAGTGATCTTGGCAGTCACTGTCTGAAGTGCTGTCTGAAGTGCCGTGCCTGGCCTGGCCTGGCCTGTGCTGCTGAATCAGACTCTTCATCACACTGAAATTTGAGAACCAATGTGCTATGTTGTTTCTGAAAACACACCTCATACTGAGATAGCAACTTGTTTTACTTATGTAACACTCAATTTTAATAATTTTTCCCTTGAATAATACCTTTTTCTTAGTAAAACCTTTAAAGTTCCAATGGCAGAACTGGACATAAAGGAAAATGGGATTGGGTTTGATGTAATTTCTCCAAGTATGACGATAAACCAGTTGGACATGTGTAAGATTTTCTGTCAGTGATGATGATTTTCCACGTGTTTTCTCTGGAGCCCTGAGGATTCCACACAGGTGTCTGCTAGGGGCTCCTTGAAGCTGGTGTGGCTGTGTGAGGTGGAGGTGTGAGGGGCTTTGCTGACCTCCTCCCCATGCCCATGCTGTTCCACATTTGGAGCCTGAGCGAACCCGGACCATGACACAGTAGACACAAAAGGTGCTGGGGTACCAGTTGAGCACCCTAGTGGAGCACAAGTGTGAGCTCTCTGCCACTCACGCCTGTCTGTAGTCCCACGGGGCCAGAATCAGCTACACCTGGAAGGCCCCAGAGATGAGGGTGGAATAGGGCCTCTTTCTGCATGTCCTTTGTTTGATTGGCAGTCATGGGCCTTCACCGAGGGACACTGAGCAGAGGCTCCAGGAACCCAGCACTATGCTCAGTTTTGAAATGTTTTTTGGGCCTTCTTCACTACATTACACAATGTCTTTTCTTGAGAAATCACAGGAAACATTGATCTTTGGCCAAAACACCAGAAAATAGCTCATCTTGGCCCAAACTGCTGATTATTTGTGGCTCACCTTTGGATTTTTTGGGTAAAGCTACTGATTCTGTTTCCTTCTTTTGAATTCTGGCTGCTAGGAAGCCAGGACTGGATATAACCTCTCTAGTGAGTGCTCCAGAGTCTACAGGAAGAATTTTGGGAATGACCTTATCCTGGCCCATCCTGTTCCACATGGCTTTTTATGTTTTCCCTTCTTGTTCATTCAGCTGGATTTCTTTACTTAAAAAAATTTTTTTATTTTTTTTGAGACAGAGTTTTACTCTTGTCTCCCAGGCTGAAGTGCAATGGCACAGTCTTGGCTCATTGCAACCTCCACCTCCCAGGCTCAAGTGATTCTCCTGCCTCAGCCTCCCGAGTAGCCGGGATTACAGGTGCCTGCTACCCCGCCTGGCTAATTTTTATATTTTTAGTAGAGATGGGGTTTCACCACGTTGGCCAGGCTAGTCTCAAACTCCTGACTCCAGGTGATCTGCCTGCTTAGGCTTCCCAAGTGCTGGGATTACAGGCAAAGGCTACCATGGCTGGCCTGACAAAATTGTATGTGTTTTTAGTAAACTCCTCAAATACTTTTCAGGACAAAAATGAGAGCTATCAATAGTTACATCTTATGTAAAAATAATCATCATCTCATGAATTTTGATTGTAGAAAGTGCAGTATACTTTTACTTGTGCTCTCCCAGCCTCTCCAAGGCAGAGATTCTGAAAAAATTTACCTGAGGCCAGAGAGACAGCAAATAACAGATGGAGCCTGGGCTCAGATTTACCTCCAAAGCGATACCATGCCACACTCACGGCTCTTGTGAAACTGGAATTGCTGTAGGTGAAACTTCCTTTTAAAGAAATATTGATTAAAGGAGATTGTTTTCTTTCAACAGGGAGAACCTTGCTAGTGACATGTATCTTATATCACAGATGGATAGTGACCAGTATGTGCCAATCACAACGGTGGCTAACCTTGACCACATCAAGAAGCTCAGCACTGATGTTGACTTGATTGTGGAAGTGCTAAGATGTAAGTAAATGACAAGGTTAAATTAATAATGCTTATCTTTAGATTATTTGTCTTATCAGTATGAACCTTTAAACCTATAGCTATCAAATGTTAAGGTTCTTGATGGCAAATCAGATCCTTCTCTGGACTTTCATTCCTTCCTGCCCAGGTCCAGTAATTCTGGAATAGTGCCTGATAGTCTCAGGGAGTGCCAGTTGAATCCATCATGAAACCCCAAACAAGTTTTTGGTCATATGAAATAGAAAAGGAATATTTTTAATGGGGATTTTAAAGACAGATGTTTCATTCATAAAAAACAAAATAAAAATAACATTTATAGTTAAAGTAAAATACATTTTAATTACAGTTTTGCCACTAAAGGAGTTTCTTTCAAATTGCAACTTCCTGTTAATGTTTTGATGAAATATTTTTGCCTTTTTCTTAAAATTATGTTTTGGATGAAGTTGTTTCTTTGAAGTTTGGCAATATCAAACAGTGTTTAAGCATTAAGTGCAGGTGGTGCCTACTACTTAGTTTTGAGTGATTGGACATCGCTAAGCCTGACTTAAAGTATCATTTAAGTCCACTCCTACACTAACACAGAAGGTTTTCACCTTGTCCCTGGCTTAGCAGCTCTGCTGAAGACTGCAGATTTTTTTTTCTTGTGTGGATATGACTTTACAAGTAGTATAAAAAGATGAGCATCTTGCCTTAAAACTTAGTTGGATTTTTTTTAATCACAAATAAAAGTCTTCTATTTTTCTGTTTTTAGACAAATGTCATGGGTTATTAGATTATCGGAGACAGTGAGGAAACTGACAAACATAATTACCATTGACTGTGAATTCTGAGAGTGGCACTGCCATCTCCCAGGATGGCGCTCTTCTCCCTGGTGTCACCATGCAGAACAGAAGCTGTTGTCTATGCCAGCTGAATTTCGCTCCGTCTTTGAAAGGCCAGCAGCATTTTTATCCCTGTTTATACTCTGAAGTCTTTTTGGTTATGATTAGGAGTTCCAGGTTTAGTTATTCCTTTTAGGACAGACCTTGCAAACGCTGCTACCCTACTGAGATGATTTCTCAGTTGTTAGTGGCAAGGGGTGTTTCCACCAACCATGAAGATATTAAATTGCTCTCTGTGGTTGCTTAAGAGAGCCCATCTTCCCATGGGCGATCCAGAGCAGCCTCATCACCTATTTTACCCCAGCTGCTCCCACCTTCTTTATGACTGTTAACCTTTTATCCATTTGCACTTAGCCCTTTAGTTTCTCATTTTGTCTTTTTTCACTCAATTTTTGGACAGAACTGTACATGCCTTTGTAAGAACCTGAGTGATAAGAATTATAGTTAGCAAGTTTATCACATTAATTGTAGTTCTGAAGAGGATGAAGATGTCATCAGTAGGTCCACAGGAGCAAAGTTCTCATCATATTTTTTTTTAATTAAATTAAATCAATGAATTTATTTATTTTTGAGATGGAATCACACTCTGTCACCCAGGCTGGAGTGCAGTGGTGCCGTCTCAGCTCACTGCAACCTCTGCCTCCCGTGTTTAAGTGATTCTTGTGCCTCAGCCTCCCAAGTAGCTGGGGATTATAAGTGTACCCTAGCATGCCCAGCTAATTTTTTGTATTTTTAGTAGAGACAACGTTTCACCATGTAGTATTGCCAGTCTCAAACTCCTGACCTCAAGTGATCTGCCTGTCTCAGTCTCCCAAAGTGCTGAGAGCCACTGTGCCTGATCTCATCTTATGTTTAAATCTTGTGCCCAAAATACCTAGCAAAGACTCAGACACATAGCAGATGCTTGATGAGTATTTAATTTTATCTTTTTAAAAATTAAACTCAAGATTGTCTGAATGATTTTACTTTAATTTGAATACTGCAGCTCTTGTATTAAGTTGTCTAAGTTACATTTCTAGATTATTTTTAATATCATAATGCACATACAGTGTGTGTCCCAGTATGTCTGATTCAAGTACTGTTTTTACCCTTAATATAACTGAAACTGCCAATTAAAAAGACATGCTAAAATATTTGTCACCAGAATAAATACATTATGTTACATTCACACAGTGAGTACCAGAGCTGTTACAGTGAGCTAGAACTACATATTCCAACAAGAATAAATTTTAAAATGAGAATGTTTATAAAAGCATGTTTCCAAATTTGTGCAAGATGATACCATATATATAAAGCTTGGGGTTGTGTAAAGCTGAAGCACAGGGATTTTTGTGGGTTCAGAGGAGCACAGAGGTGGTGTGAAAGCATAATGGGATTCATTGTCGCATCATGGGAGGAGGTGAGTTGGGCAAGGAGTGAAGTACAGAGGGTATCACCCCTGCTGTATGGAGGTAGAATTTACATACCATAAACTATACATTCTAAGTGTGCATATTTATACACCCATGAAACTACCACAATCACGATACCAAACATAGCCACCATAGCCTGCCCCCGCCAAGCTTCCTCTACTCCCTCTCCTGGCAACCACTGATTTGCTTCCTGTCACTACAGATTAGTTTGTAGTGTTTACAAATTTGATGTGAATGGAGTCGATTATGCAATATCACTTTCTTTTGGTCAGGCATAACTATTTTTTTGTTTACTGGATTAGTAGGTGATTACTTCTTTTTGCTGGGAAGTATCCTCTCGAGTGGATATTCCCAGTTGGTTTATGCACCTACTAGTTATAGTCATTTAGGTTATTGCCAGGTTTTGACCACTACAAATTGCTATGAACACTTGTGTAAAAGTCTTTGTGTGACCATGTGCTTCCCTCTGTCTCGGGTAAATAACCAGAAGCGGAATGTCTGGATTGTCTGGTTAGCTGTATGATTAACTTTGAAACTGCCCATCTGTTTTCCAAAGTGGTTGGACCATTTTACAGTTGGCCACCACCAGCAGGGATGAGAGCTCCAGTTGCCCCATATACTTCTGACGCTTGGTATGTAGTCATGTTAATTTTATGTTTTCTAATAACTGGATAGTGGTATCTTATTGAGGTTTTCACTTCCGTTTCTCTAGTGGTTAATGAAGGTGAGCATTTTTTTAATGTGCTTATTTGCCTTCCTTTTTCTTCTTTGCAGAAGTGTCTGTTAAGAAGTCCCACACATACTTTATTAGTTTTAGTAACAATTGAGTCCTTTCTTTAGAAGTCGACTTTATTTTTTAAAACAGTTTTAGACTCACAGCAAAACTGAGCAAAGTAGAGACATCTCCCATATAGTACCTGCACACATGTATGGCCACTTCCCTTATGAACATTCCCCACCAGAGGAACATTTACAACTGATGAAACTACACTGACACATCATTATCACCTGGAGTCCACAGTTTGCATAAGGGTTCACTTCGTGTTGTGTATTCTGTAGATTCAGACAACTGTATTGTGACATGTGTCTACCATTACAATATTATATAGGATAATTTTGCTGACCTAAACATCCTCTGAGCACCACCTGTTCATCCCTCCCTCCCCCTAATTACTGGAAACGACTGATCCCGTAGTTTCACCTCTTCCAGAATGTCATAGAGTTGGAATCCTATAGGACATAGTCTTTTCAGATTGGCTTCTTTCACTTAGCAATATACGTTGAAGGTTCCTCCATGTCTTCATGGCTTGATAGATCATTTCCTTTAGTGTTGAATAATAGTTAATTGTCTGGATGTCCCACAGTTTGTTTATCCATCTACCCACTGAAGGACATCTTGATTACTTCCAAGTTTTGGCAGTTATGAGTAAAGTTGCTATAAACTCTGTGTGCAGAGTTTTACATGGACATAATTTTTTAGCACCTTTGGATAAATACCAAGGAGCACAATTGCCAGATCATATGCTAAAAATATGATTTGTTTAATAAGAAACCACCAAATTGTCTTCCAAAGTGGATGTACCACTTTGCATTCCCATCAGCAGTGAATGAGAGTTCCTATTGCTCTACATCCTTGCCAGCATTTGTTGGTATCATTGTTTTGGATTTTTGCCGTTCTAATAGTTATGCAGTGGCATCTCATTGATGTTTTAATTTGCATATTCTTTCTCTCTCTCTCTCTCTCTCTCTCTCTCTCTCTCTCTCTCTCTCTCCCTCCCTCCCTCCCTCTCTCTCCCTCTCTCTCTCTCTCTCTCTCTCTCTCTCTCTCTCTAAGTTTTGCTCTTCTTACCCAGGCTGGAGTACAATGACGCCATCTCAGCTCACGTCAACCTCTACCCCCCGAGTTCAAGCGCTTCTCCTGCCTCAGCCTCCTGAGTAGCTGGGACTACAGTTGTGTTCTACCACGCCCAGCTAATTTTTGTATTTTTAGTAGAGATGGGGTTTCATCATGTTGGCTAGGATGGTCTCAGTCTCTTGACCTCGTGATCTGCCCACCTTGGCCTTCTAAAGTGCTGGGATTACAGGCATGAGCCACCACGCCCAGCCAAGTTTGTTCATTTTCTTATTGTTGAGGTTTTTAGATTTTTTTGTATTTTGATGTTAACAGTCCTTTATCAGATGTATCTTTTGCAACTATCCATCTGTCAATGGCTTGTCTTCTCATCCAGTTGACATTGCCTTTCACAGAACAGAAGTATTAAATGTTAATGAAGTTTTTCATGGATGAAGCCTTTGGTGTTGTATCTAAAAAGTTATTGTCAGACCCAAGGTCTTCTAGATTTTCTCCTGTGTTTTGTACGACTTATGGTTTTGCATTTTACACTTAGGTTCATGATCCATTTTGTGTTAATTTTTATGAATGGTGGCGCCAGGTCTGCATCTAGACTAATTTTCTGCATATGGATGTCGAGTAGTTCAGCACCACTCATTGAAAAAGATGCTGCTTTGCTCCTTGATCACATTGTCAACGATGTATGTGTGTGCACGTTAATATGTATTTCAGGTATTCTGGATACAAGTCCTTATCACACACGTGTTTAACAAATATGCTCTCTCAGTCTACAACTGTTTTTTTGTTGTTGTTGTTCTATCAGTGTTTTTCAAGAAGCAGAAGTAGTAATTCTTTATATAGTCTAATTTGTTAGTTTTTTTCCTGTTACAGATCTTGCTTTTGGTGTTGCACATAAGAAATCTTTGCTTGGCCCAAGGTTATGATAGTTTTCCTTATATTAGTTTTATGTTTTACATTTGAACATTGGAGTCTGTGATCTGTGTTGTGCTGATGTTTGTACATGGTATGGGGTGTGGATCCTGAGTGCATCTGTTACAGCACCACGAGTGTCTGGGCCCTTGTATTGACTGCCCATGCACCTGGGTGTTGATCTCTGGAACATGTGTTCTATTCCCTTGATTACTTTTCTGATTTAGTAAAGACATTGTAGTATCGTGATCGCTGTAATGTTATACTAAGTCTTAAAGTAGGACGGATCCTCCAGCTTTGTTGTGGTTTGCCTACATGTTTTGCTTTTGTGTATAAATTTTAGAATAATTGTGACAGTTTTTCAAAAAGTCCTGTTCGTGTTTCTATTGGGATTGCATTGATTCTGTAAATTTACTTGAGAAGTTACCGATTCTACCAATGTTAAGTTTTACAACCAACAAGCACAGAGTATGTCGTTATTTTGGTCTTTAAAATGTTCTCTTGGCAGTGTTTTGCACTTTGCAGCATACAAGTCTTTGATATCTTTTGTCAGATTAAGATATAAAAACTAAGTTATAGTCATGCACCAGTTACCTTTCTTGTAGAGTAAGCTTTGGTGTTTTGTGTCTTTAAAGAAATGTTTCTATTTCATGTAATTTATTAGTGTGAACTTTTTTATAATATTCCATTGTTATCTTTTTCCTGTTGATAGAACCTGTAATGATGTTGCCCATTTCCATTCCTGATGCTGTTAGTTTGTGTCTTTGCAACAGTGGGCACCTCTGAGCCCTAATTACGATCATTACGTGCCGTGACTCGAATCTGTGCATTGCATAATTTCATAGATGTGATACCAGAACACAATAAAAGTTTATGTAAAAACTGCAAAATCTAAACTAGGCCTATAGCTGCAGCCACGTGAGCACCCTAGTGTGAACAATGCATGGCCGTTAGGTAAGAGAGCATCATCAGCAAGCCAGCAAAGGGCTTACCGAATCAGTTATAAGAAGACAAGATTATTTCATCTTAGGTACTTGTGGAAAGGAGAAAGCCACTAACCCTGTATTTTAATCTGCCTTTAGTACTTGACCGGTTTAGAACCTTTGTTTCATACTCTTGCATACATTATAGCTCTTGTAGGATTTTTAAATGTCCATAGTTTTGAAAAATTTAACAGGTGAGATTGGTTTAAACCTTTTGTGTTAGGCTAGCAAAATTTTTGACAGTTTGCCCAGTGTTTGCAGATTTCTTTAGCTTATTTAGTATACTATACAGTGTAACACATTCCACTGGCATATCACATTTTAGTATTTTTGTTTTACCATTGATTTTTCTTTTCTTTATAGCTTTACCTTTAGTCCAAGTGGATGAAAAGGGAGAAAAAGTAAGGCCAAATCAAAATCGCTGCATAGTAATATTGCGTGAAATCTCTGAATCTACCCCTGTGGAAGTAAGTAATTTCTCCACTGAAGGTTACTTGGATGTTTTCCTGAAGGTCTTTGTTGGTTTTTATTTTTATTTTTACTTTTATGTTTTTTTGGGGCTGTGTATTTTGTAGACTGAATTCTTATTAACACTGTTTTCCCAGGATTTACACACACTGAGAGTTACAGAGTAGGAGGCAACGACTCCCAAACCTTTTGATCCCAGGACTCCTTTATACTAAAGATAGTGAGGGTTTATCCATTACTATAGCAATTAAAAATAACACATTTAAATATTTAGAAAATAAGATTAGCCGGGCACAGTGGCTCAAGCCTGTAATCCCAGCACTTTGGGAGGCCGAGGCGGGTGGATCACGAGGTCAAGAGATCGAGACCATCCTGGTCAACATGGTGAAACCCCGTCTCTACTAAAAATACAAAACATTAGCTGGGCATGGCACTCCAGCCTAGGTAACATGAGTGAAACTCTGTCTCAAAAAAAAAAAAAAAAAAGATTAGTAAACACACAAATCACGATAAAGAGCACTTTTGTGATCAATAACTTTCAAAACAAGTATATTTATGACAGAGGGACGTTGTGAATAACTCTGAGCCACCAGTGTGGCCTAGTCCAAGCCAGCACAGCCACTCTTAGAGAACCAGTAACTTGGGCAGTAATTTTAGGGAACCATGGTATTTGATAGCTTAAAAGTAATGAAAAGCAATCTACTGTTATATGTTGCTGTAAAATCTGCTATTTGCCCAAATGCCTAAACTAAGTTGCTTTGTGTAGTAAACACACTGATGGTTACGCTTGAGATCATAAAGTCAAGTCTTCATGTCAGGTGCTGGGAACGTAGTTTATTCTGCCTCAGAAAAGGGAATCTGCCGTCTCGGGACTCGCAGAACACAGGAATCCTGGTTTGTTATTCGTCTGACATCTCACATGATTTCAGCCTCAGTCATTCATGCTGCATCTTCCCACACACCTTCTCTGTAGAGCAAATCGACATTGCTGCTCAGGCTTCCAAGATTTAGTTTTTCGGTACAAGTGGGTTAGTGTGTGTGAGGGTTTTTTTTTTAAGGAAAACAATTCTCGCATGTGACAAAGGTTAGGATTCCAACCACGTTGTCTGCCTAGCATAAGAAATTCTATAACTCTCATATAAGTATGGTCTTATTCTAGCAAGTTTTACCTTCTTTTCAACACAGGCTGTCTTCACTAGTTCTAATATATGGAAAAAAAGAATTCAGGATTATATATATATATACATATTTTATTAAGGGTCTGAATATGACGGACAAGCATATTTCTTATGGCTAATTTGGACATCTGTATTAATTCAAAGTAATATTTAAAACATAGATCCTAATTTTTAAGACTTGAAATGTTTATAAAACTTTAACCAAGAAGAATTTTTTGCATTTAACAGTAGACATTGATTTTGGAGTTCTGTTATTCAAAACTGCTGACCTTAATGTCTGTTGCAAAACTTGAGCAATGAAAGTCTTGAGAAGGCTTAAAGAAAACTCTTCAATAAAAATTAAAAGTTGTGGACAAAAGGGAAGGAAAATAAGTAGGCCAAAACAATCCACATAAGAAAATAAGTTCCCAAAGACTCTATAACACCCTTCTATTGGGTCTTAGAAGTGTAGGCCAGGAGTTTCCAGAAGATTCTTCCTTAGATGTAACTAGGTGCTTGTCAGTGATTAGTACATTTTAAATACTGATTCTGAGTTTCTTAAAAGTAGGATTTTCCCAGAGGCAGAGGAGTAAACCATTTTTGCCACCAGTAGACTGATAGTCTAGTGGCCTTAAAGTATTATTGGTTGAGTTTAAAAGTCATAATCCTAATTTACCATTAGTGAAGTATGACTTTTGCATTGATGTGTGTGTGTGTGTGTGTGTGTGTGTGTGTGTGTGTGTTTTATCTTTTAACAAGTAAGCATTTGCCAGAGATGAGACAACAACATAAGGTATTAGAATCCCTGGAAATCATTTTTGTAGTTCATTTTGGTTGTTCAATTCCTTTTGTACTTTTTGAAGTGTACCTGGCTAGTAATTTTTTATGGGATGGCCCTTCTTTTCCTGGTGCTGTTTTTCCTCTGAAATCTGGTATGAATATAGCCACTCTCGCTCCTTTTGTTTGGGATTAAATGTGTATTTTTATCTTCTTTTTTTTTTTTTTTTTTTTTTTTTTTTTTTTTTTTTTTTTTTTTTTTTTTTTTTTTTTTTTTTTTTTTTTT